AGACGTCTTCTGCTTTCTGCATTCTGCTAATTCATCCTAAACTGTATGACCAGGTTCTAGGGTTCGCTCTCTGCTCCCATGTCCTCTGTGCACCTAGATAACTGCTGAGTGGCATTGCCCATCAAGCCATCAGAAATACCTGGAAAGCTTCCTCAAGTATCATCTTCTCAGAGGATCCCTAAATCCAAATGTCCTGTTGAAATCGACTTGCTATCCTCAAGGATGTGGTGCTATGCTTGGGATCCTACCTACCCTTTACCTCTGTCCTCACTCAGCAACTTAGAGGAGTCAGAGAAAGACTTTCTTTTTTCTTTTTCTATAATTTCTACTGTGATAACCTATATGTGTACTTGATAGTAGAAGTTTAGCTTTCTTTTTATTTCTTTCTTTCTTTTTCTTTTTTTTTTTGCTTTTCTCTTTTTCTTTTCCTTTTTTTTCTTTCTTTTTTTTTTGACTCATGTAGTTCAGGCTGACTTTGAATTCATTATTAGACTGGCTTTGAACCACACATCCTTTTGCTTCTACCTCCAAAATACTGGGATTATAGATATGCACTCCTATACATAATTATTTCTCCTTCTTTTCCTCATTCTTTTTATTCATTTTTCTTTTTTTTTCTTTTTTTTTTTCAGCAGAGTCACCTAACACTTGTGATCCCCTTGCCTCAGCCCACCAATCTCTACTATTACAGGCATGTGCTACCATGCCTCCTAGCTTTTTTCTTATAAAATGTATTGTTTTGCCTTTTCAGCTCCCAAATACCACATTCCCTTTAGTTGTCATGTCCCTTTATGCTCCTTTTTTAGTCTTGCCTGTGGCATTGACTGTTTGCCTTTTGTGGACGACCTTGACAGTTCTGAAGGGTTTGAAACAAGTGTTTTGGGTGCTAGTTTGTGGAGATCTGCTTTGGGTTTCTTCCGCAGTGAGAGATTATGCACTTTTGATGAAAAGTTGTAGGGATAAATTGCCACCTCGGCCCGTTATGCCAAGGATACACTTATTACTGTCGGTGTTCTCCTTGGACACCATACTGAAGTAGAGTTTTGTCATGATTAAGTAAAATCCTCCCTCCCCTCTTTTCCATACTGTTCTCATTAGAAGGAAGCCACTACGTCGAGCCCATGGAAATTGGTTTGTTATTTACCTCAATGCCCAAGGTGGGTATTTCTGATAGCCATTTTCTCTTCTCTACTGGTTATCCAGGGCACGGCATTCTTCCATTCCATTGCTTCAGCCTCCCCTAGGGTTTAGCCATCTTAATCCGGAGAGAGTGGGGAAGAGAATGTTTGCTTTTGAAAGCCTTGGCCTGAAAATGGCACATATCCCTTCCACTTACTTTCCATATGACACTCTTTCATCTGCCAAACCTAATTGCAAGGGAGGCTAGGACATATGGTCGAGCTGAGTGCCCAGGAAAAGGAGGAAATGGATTTGAGGGAAAATGCTTGTAGTATTATCACTCTGCTTTAGTAATATAAAATATAACAGACTAACTCCTCCATCACCATTAGATAATTTGGCCACCAGCTCATTAGAAAATAGAAAAAAAAGATGAATAAAATACTTCTCAACCTAAAAGTTGCTTAAATTATAAATAATTTAATGGCCATTATTTAGATGTCTTATTTAATTTCACTGTTCTATTAAATTCACTCTTGATCTGTAAACACTTGTTGGGCACACTAACTCGCATGTCGGCATTTGAGAACTTACCCTCTATGTTCTGTCCGTCCTGGACTTGTTGGCAGCATCTGCTTGCTGTGTTTTCTGTTTGGAAAGCCTCTGTTCATTTTTTGATTTTGTTATTTGTTTCATCTTTTCAGATGAATGTTCTATGCATAGGCTGTGGAGATGGCTCAGCCCCAGAGTCTGAATAAAAAGTGTTGAGTGTAGTATCATTCACTCATAATCTCAGAATGAGAGAGAGAGAGAGAGAGAGAGAGAGAGAGAGAGAGAGAGAGAGACAGAGAGACAGAGAGAGAGAGAAAGAGTGTCCTGGGTAGATTCCTGGAACTCATTGGCTGGCCAGTTAGCAGGGACTGTATCAAGAGAAGGTGGAAGCAGATAGTGCTTGAAGAACAATACTTGAAGCTGTCCTTTGGCATCCTCACTATCATATCTATCATATCTATCTATCTATCTATCTATCTATCTATCTATCTATCCATTTACCTATCTACCTACCTGTCTTGTCTCCCATTACACACACTTTCATGCGTGTGAAAACATGTACACATATATGCATGTGCCTTCCTGCACACAAATACACACATACATGGGTGAGGGGATCCTGCCCATTCCTCAAGTGGCACTGGTATTTTTATCTAACTTAGACAGAATTAGTCCTTGCTTCTGGGGCAGGGGACATCATGCCACATTGCTTCATTCATTCAGCAGCCCCTCCCTTGACACTAGTGTAATTTGTGTTTCATACCTTAGCTTAGGTGCTCCCTAAAGATAGCACAAGGCTTTTCCACACTTCCATCTCTTAGGTTCCTAAGAAGAGATTGACAAAGAACATGTATGTTTTTAATATGAACAGGATGCTTTATAAGTCAAAAATGGTCCTAGATATTTAGTATTTCTTTCACATACAGCAAGACACTCCCCTCTCTCACATGGCCAACCTTTCTTGAGAGACTGCTTTTGGCTGGAGCTAGAAAGGCTGGTAGGGATAGAGAGAACATAACGGGTCACTGTTCTATAAGTGGGCTGCACAGCCCAAAGTGGCCTGCACTGGACTCTGGGCATGCTCAATAGATGTGCTGGTCTCCTGTGAAATCTCTGTGGACCAGGACTTTTGTGTTTCTAGATCATCACGCAATTAAAACTCAGATCCAGCTCTAATTCCTCCCTGCTCTTGGCATAGGGAGGTGGTATAAAGGTCTCGTGCTCATTATTCTGAACAAGACTTACCAACCTGAATTCCCAAAGTCCCAACAGGGGGATAACTTCACCATGGCAAAAAACAGTGTTTAATTGCAGGTGCAGAAAGAGAAGCAGGAGGAAAACAAACAAGAATTAGCAGGCTCTAGTGAGTAATCGGCCACACATCTCATTACCAAAGAGGTCAGGACTTCCTAAAGTGACCTGAAGCTTGTCAGAAAGACATGGATTGAGAGACCTTAACCCCTTCCCACTGTCGTTTTCTCTCTGTCTGACCTCAGCCTTCACAAGTTCAGTCAGTGTTTTACCACAACAGACCCAGGAGGCTGTGCATTCTTCACCCTTCTAGCTTCCTTGATTTTTTATAGTTGAAACTTTATGCACTGACTAGGATTTATACATTTGTGCAGTTTTCTGGTCCATACCGTCACATAGTTACTCATTTGGCAGTTTCAGTGTTTACCATATAAGTAGATTTTTTTTTTTAAATCTACATGTGAAACCTGAAACTCGGATGTTACATTGTTTGCTTGGGATGCCAAGAAAGCTGGGGCTTTTGGATGGGTTTTATGCCCCTAGTGCTGAGTGGGTCATACCAGAAGTCTTTGCCTAGCCATGCCAGCTTGTTGAAGATGAAGGCAGTTGTTTGTTATGTAACTGTGTGTTTCTCTGATGTAGCCATGGTGTGCATATAGGGTTCAGTGGGTCCAGGGAGGACAAGCATTGAGGACAAATCCTGTCACCACTAAGGGTAGAGCACTCTAACGTGGCAGGGAGCAAATTATAGAAGGGACTATTTGTTTGACTTTCAGCTTGTCTCAACAAGGAAATTTAGGCCTTCAAATTAAGAGTATTTAATTCAAGACAATATATCACTATTAACTGGAATGCCTCGTTTCGAATTCCGTTCCACATTCACCCCTTGTTGCTTATTTTTAATATTCTTAGTATTTTTTTGTCTCTTATGAAGGCTTTGATGCCGAACACATTGTCTTATATTTCCAGTTGTGGCCATCAAGTCATGTACTGGATTCCTGTTAGAACCACACACCATGAAAGTGTTCGGTTTACCTGATGTATTCTTAGAGAGGGGGAAAAAAGTGAATTCCTAACTGATACTCATGGAATAAACACGAAGGTCTAGGCTGACAGGCACAAATTCAGTCATGATTTTTCCAGAGACGTCATTCTTCATTCTTAACTTCAGTAATGTGGTTTCCACCTTTGCCCTGGTTTCTACCATCAGCGATAGCACTCTCTGTTTTTGCTTATGGTTTATGAAATAGCTGGAGCTGTAAGTATCCTGAAAATTTCCATCCAGCACTAGACAAGAAAGGATGGCAACGCTGTAGAAACCAGTTGGTTGCTATAGGCCTCACCACAATGGAAAACCTGTAAATATTTATATTAATTGATATGCAGAAATATAAATGTGCTGTGTCAAGGAGTTTGAGGATTTAGTTATACACAATGTCTAAAAGTGAGGACCACTTATGGCTTAATTTTTTTTATTAAATAAATGTTTCTGACTTGAGGTTTGTGTTGCTTTGTATTAGAGACATGAGTTTTACCTCTGTGGTGAAGGGTAACTGGGAAGGTCTCATTCCTGCACAGTTTTCATCTCACTTGTATTTCTTTTTGAATGAATTTGACCAGAATATCAAAACCCAGGTGCTTCTGACAGGTACCTGACATACAGAAATAAGAAGTCATTCAGACACCAATTATGATGTCAGGAAACATAGGCGTTACCATGGCATTTTTGTCTTTTCGATGATGCTGGAATAGAGCCGTAAACTTGGGAGCATCTTGCAGGAAGGCACCATCTGTAGTAGAAGGGGGAATAATTTACTTTTTAACTTGTCTGTGTTTTCTAACCATAATTAGCTTTAATATTTACGGACACACGACACATTTCAAAGCATTATGGTTCTGCCCCTAGGAAGAAGGATGGCATAGCTATTACACAGAAACAACCCCCTTCTAAATGCTAATTTCAATATTTATAACATGGGCACTTATGCATTTACTTATGGAATGTACTTAACAACTTGCAAGTGTGCATTTTTATAAACAAAATAAAAAGCGAGTAATTATTTCATCTTGTCTTGCAGAACCCCAGCTGAAAGGGATTGTGACAAGGTTATTCAGCCAGCAGGGATATTTCCTGCAGATGCATCCAGATGGTACCATTGATGGAACCAAGGACGAAAACAGCGACTACAGTAAGGAACACCAGCTATTTTCAATGCTGTGCAAATTGAATATGTAGCCCAACACAGCCATGCTGCTTTTTGGACTATTCAGTGATAAATGAACTAGTCTTCCCCATTTAACCTTCTTGTAGCATTCGTTTCTTATTCTTACAGAAAGTACAGCTCTATATCAGAAGAGATGCGTTCATTGAGAGGGCAGAGTGCTTGAAAGATTTTTCAGTAGCCATTAGATGCAGATGTCTTCCTACTGGTTTTTTTTTTTTTTTTTTTTTGCCAGTGAGCTAAGCACTCATAGAAATAATACAGACTTTCCAACACAAGGTGATATTTAAATCTTGGACCCAAGTGACAAACAAATTGTAATTCTCAGAACATTTTTTTTTTGGTGGAAAACATTACTTCTTCAGGCAAACACGAAACACATATATATATGTCATTTTACTGTGCTTAAGGACAACATCTGAACATCCTCATGATGTTCAGTACATGTAATTGGAATAAGTTAGTAAAGGCTGGTAGATCTAACATGGACTTAAAGACAGTCTTGAAATAAAAGTTGCGAATCTTAACGATCATTCAAAAAGTCTCCCAGAAACAGTCATTAGAGTTGACAAGTTCAGAAGGGAAATGCAGTTCATCAAGGCTCGAGAGAATGTATTCATATTTTGGAAACCACGAATACACATGCTTCAGAGGCAAGATTGTCTTTATAATCATGCAGGTGCCTCAGGGCACATTCCCCGTTCTACAATTGTTCAAGGTGACATATCGGTTTTATCATGATGTATTGGTCCACATTTACTGCTAGATCTGTAGTGTTAAATGTACAGTGAATGAACCCGGTGTGGTAGGCACATGAGTATAATTGAGCTTTAGAGGGGAAATGGAGCCAAGTCAAAAGTTCAGCATTATGTGAGGCTTTCTAGTGCCTTTAAGGGCAGCCTGGGCTACCCGAGGCTGCACCTCAGAAAGAAAGGAGAAAATCAGAGACACAGAGTGAATGTTCATCAAATATACACCCAGTGGCTCTGATGAGAGTGATTTTGTCACCCTGAAAACCTCTCACAATTCAGCGGTAACTTAGAAAATCAGATATTTTATGGTGCTGTAACTCTTAAATTAACAATGGCGTCTGAGGCAAGATTTAAAGCTCTTAAAGCGCTGAGACATTCCTGTCCACCCCTTTTGAATTTTCTTTGTTTACTTAATATTGTGCATTACAAAATATGAATTACAATAAAGAAAAGATCTTATTATGAAGATTCCCATTCCACTTTTCTCTCGGTTTTTGGCCGGGCAGTTGATTGCTTCATTGTGGTTTGCACTGTTAATTTGTGTTTCCATGAATGCATTCTCTAAGTGGTTCAAGCTTTCGACTCAGGCGAGAAGAATGAAGAGCCCCTACTCCCTGCATATGTCAGTCATCTATTGCATCTGCTCTTGAATGTCTGATTGAGTGGGCCACACTTATAAACCTAGGCAGGTAACTGCCTAGCTGTGCCTCTCGTGTTGATTGTGAGGTATCTCTAGATCTCAGTTCCATGTTTAACACAAGAAATGACTAAAAAGAAAAACAGTAGCAGCATTTTCTTTCAAAACCACCCAATGGACATTTTTAAAAGTTGAAAAATCAATGTTACCACTTACAGCAGCCATGCTGAGACCCTGGGGACATTTCGGAAGAGGAGGTGACAGAATGGAGAGCTAGAGGAGTTCTTTAAAATATTGACTTCTGCATGTGAAAAGGCCATGGTAAATATGCACATATAGTAGCCAAGACCACAAGAAAGACACATAGAAAGGACTGGGAAGTTGGAGAGGGAAGAGTTGAGAAGAAAAAGGGGGTCAGAAGGGTTGGAGTGGAGTAAGAGAAAGTAGTAAAGGGATACTTCATTGTATACAAGTAAGAAAGCATCAAAAATTAAACCATTTATATGAAAGAGTTATAAACTGATGGAAACTGATTTGTTCCCTAAGCAAGTCAAGTAGCCATTCTCTCTCTGCTCTACAGAATGCTGCCTGAACCCAGCCAGCTGTGTAACACTTTCTACCCAGAGGATACAGGGTAGCAAACACCATGGGATCCAAGCACACAGATCCTTCATTGTTGCCAGAAAAATAACTGAAAGTGATCTATTCTGAGTCTAGGCCCATCACATACTTGAATCCATGCATATCTATACAATCATATGTACACACACACATACATACATGTATGCACATGTATTCCAGGCATACAAGAAAAATACATAGAGCACCAGAATTCCTGATACACATGCACCATATACATTGAGGGTAACTGATGATGTGTTCTATAAAATGCTTACAGAACTGATTTAAACTCATAAATTTATACCATTGTTTTTAAGCTAAGATGATCTGCCATGAATAACTTTGATAAATTTTTATTCAAAATAACTTCGGTGTGCACACTCTAAAGATGAATGTAAGTTCATTTAGATATCAATATGAAAGTTTTGATTTAATACATTCATACCTTCTCTTCAAGAAAGAAATTCTGCTTTTTTTGATTATCAGATATCATAACTTCCCCAAATTTGATTTTGCTTATTTAGATATGATCTACTATAGCCGAATACTCATTTAGATGAGTGAGTTTATTCATCACCTAGCAATCTAAAGTAAAGGAGTAAATAGCAAGTGATGTGGAGATAGTTGCATAGACGGACAGGTATACACAGGTAGCAAGATATATCCAAACATCGAGCAGAAATCAACGGGGAAGGCTTCATTGAGGCAGTCATTTGGAATTCTAGGAAGAGGAAGTCTATGGCATAGCAGAGGGTCCCTTGGGCGAGGCTTCCAAATGAAGAAGAAAAAAATAAGTTGGGAGTGGTACATGTTGGTGAATGGAGATATTGGAGCAGCTGGGGAGAGAGATTAGGGTTAGATATATCCTATTTTTTGTATACCTGTGTGAGATTCTCAATCATAAAGAATAAAGTGAGAAAAAAAAAACACTAAAAAGAAAAAATAGGAACGTGTAGAGATGATATCATCAACTCAGCAGCTCACAATGTCCCACAGAAGCTGGGAAGCTGAGACAGTAAAATTGAGTTTTGGAGTGAGATTTTAACCCATAGATGGAGTTAATCCCAAGAGCGAATTGGTTTCTCTTTCCCACTACAGGAGCTCTACAATAAGGGCTAAACAATAGTAACCTCTGTTCTTCTCAAGGGCACGATGCTCACACTCTTGGATGACCTTGTAGTGAGGGGAAGCCTATTCCAGCAAGGGGACTTGAAGGACATTTTAAGATCAACATGCTTGGGTTCTGAGATTAGGGACTGATTTCACTTTAGAGCCAGCTTCTCAGTGAGCTCCAACAACACAGGACAATTTACCAACATAACGTACATTACACATACCGTTTTAAAAATAACCTTTTCTGTTTATATGCTGAACCCACTCTTCGTATTGTCTAGTATATTTTAAGCTTTTATATAAGGCAGAGCATTGTAATATACATGTTACATTCTGTCATCCATTTTTATTATGGTTATGAGACTCTTATAGGTAATATACTTATCTGCTTTATCTAAGTCATGTGTCTATTAAGGGTGTTCAATGATGCCGCAGTGTGGATCATGCCTTAAACACATGGACCTTTGGGTGCTATTTTAGATCCAAATTTATATCCATTTTATTCTTACCTTTAACTCCTGTGACTATGCAGCATATTTGTTTTGCTCTTTATTTATTTATTTCATCTTATTTACCAGAAGGTAAGCTCCTATGTGAAGTTTTGTTTTGATCATTTTTTATATTTATAATGGCCTATCATGCATAGTACACATTTGCTGGCTGGCTGGCTGCCTAAATGGACAGGTCTTCTAGTAAACAGGTTTTGCAATGGTTGGCTAAATAATTCCTACATAATGTTTACCTTTTACTTGTTTAAAATTTTATTTTATTATTTCGTGTGTAAGGGTGTTTTGCCTGCCTGTGTGTCTGTGAACCCCATGTGTACAATGTGCCCAGAGGTCAAATGAGGGTGGTGAATTCTTCGGGACTGGAGTTACAGATCCCTGTGAATGTTATCTGAGTGATGGGGTTGGAATCCAGGTCTTCTGGAAGAGCAGCCAGTGTTCTTAACCACTGTGCCATTGCTCCAACTCTACTTTTATTTTTTGAAATAATTCTAGACTTTCGCAAAATCAGATAATGTAGCAAACACATTTGTACTCACAAAGCTTTCTCTAATAGCATTGTTCCAAACAACAGCAGAACAATGATCAAAACCAGGAAATGAACACGCTTACAATGCTGTCTCCTGGGTTACAACATCCTTACGTCAATTAGTGAACTTGCTCCTGACCCTCTCCCACAACATGTACCAATCAAAAATGTTAAATGAAATAATAACTTTTAAAAATCTTTTCCCTACGTGGAGATGAAGGCTAGACAATGCCAGAGAGACATTCAAGTTCAACTCATGTTTTTAATAGAAAAATTATAAGCCTCTAAATTGTTAACATGTCTTTTCTTCTCCACTCTGTGTGGGTGGGGAGCAAAAGCAGTTGATTGTTTGAAAAAAAAAAGAAAAAAAAAACTCTTGTTACTATAAGCATCTGCCAGAAATGTTGTGTTTGGTTCATTAGGTCCAAACCATCTTTACCATGGCATCTTCAGAGAACTGATAGACACCTGCTCTTTTGTTCATGGAGAAAAGACTAATTATATGTAATTGAGTACAAAGCAAATGTTTTTTTTTTTTTTTTTCTGCAGTGGCAGATAAGAATCGCTACAAATGTAATGATAACAAAAATGCAGGGCTGTGTTGGAACACTGCTACAAAAAAAAAGACAATTGCAGCTTGGAGGGTATTAATAGGAATATTTTACATAAAATTTAAAAGCTCATCATTCTGTTCTGTACATTCTCACAGGAGATACATTTGAAGAGGCTAAACAATGCTGCAAAGAGAATGATGATGATGATGTAACCAGTTGTATTGTTCTCATTTCATTGGGGGGAAATTACACGAA